CTTAAAGCAAGAACCCGAGGCATGGCCAGCACTTTCCTCCAAGCGCAGCGTCCCGATCTCGCCATGGACGCTCGGAGTGTCAGCTCCATCGGGGTTTAGGGTTTAGGGTTTAGGGCTTAGGGCCCCAGGGGGGTTAAGGGCCCCATAGAGTTTAGATTTTAGGGTTTAGGGCCCCACATGGTTCAGGGTTTAGGGGGTTGGGGCTCCATAGAGTTTAGATTTTAGGGTTTAGGGCCCCATAGGGTTCAGGGTTTAGGGCTCCATAGGGTTCTGGGTTTAGGGCTTGGGGCTCCACAGGGTTTAGGGTTTAGGGGGGTGTAGGGTTTGGGTTTTGGGTTTAGGGTTTAGGGCCCCATAGGGTTCAGGGTTAAGGGCTCTGGGCTCCATAGGGCTTAGTTCAGGGTTTAGGGCTCCATAAGGTTCAGGGTTTGGGTTCAGGATTTAGTCCATAGGGTTTTGGGTTTAGGGCTTCGGGCTCCATGGTCAAAGTTTTGGGTTTGGGCTCGGATAATTTGCATTTGTTCGCTTCGATCTTTCGATTCAAATTGATGAGGACTGGCTGTTCAGCATGATCCAAGACGGCTGCGAGCCTGATGCCGCAACTTGTCGTCATAACTGCCTCGACAGCATCTTGATGCGGTATTGCACCTTCAAATCGAGGTGACATATGCGTTGTTGACAGATCAGAATGCTGAGAAGTTGCTGGAAGGCTTCGGAAAGTCCTTGCCCCAGCTCACATGCTGCAGGCACCCATTGCCAAGTGTAGACCACAACACCGCAGGCACTCCGGTAGAACTTTGGCGAAATTCATGGAGGCGCCTAGTTCGTGGATGCTGCATAAGGCTGCGAACATCCACCATCAGCAGCAATGTTGTGCTTGCATAGTGTTCTCTTGCCTCGCCAATACCAGGGGGCTGGAGTTGCATGTTTCCTCAGTTTGACCACGCAGGCACGTTGGTACCTGCTCACGGCCGGCGACGCCTACGTCTTCTTGCAGGTGCGACGTTTATTGTGTCGATTCCGTTAAAGCCAGGTACTTGTGAAGGCATCAGGAATCCCTCAACACTCTGTCCTGTACCCTACACATTAAACTAAACCCTGAACACGAAGCCATAAACCCTACGGCCAATACCATATACCCTGGTGCCCTCTCTTTTCTGATGTTCGGGCAGCTCCGGGTATGAGCCACAAAGGTGCTTCGACCCTGTCAGATGGGATACATGATGATAGCTCTTCATATTTCTTAATCTCAGGGTACACTTTAAGTCTCTTGGCTTTGCTAGATGGACCTCCGGGTCAAGGCTTAAATTTGCGGGATTAGTGAATACCACTTCAAGGCAAGTGAGTTCGGTAGCAAGGCAGTCTGCTACAGTGTCGTACGTATATAATATCTGTGTGTATATTTATATATATTTACATATATATATATACACATATATCTATTTACATATGTATAAATATGTATATATGAATAATATCCATACTCGTATATGCTCTATATATTTATATGTATATTATAGAACACATATATATATATATATATAGATATATATATATATATACATACACGCACACACACACACACACACACACACATATATATATATATATATATAATAGGGCTTAGGGCGCCACTTGACTCTGAACCAGACACGGCTCAGGGCTCTCGGTCCGATCTTCAGTTGTCCTTAGCCTCCAAATTTCCCGAACCCTAATTACTCAATCCTACAGCCTAAATCCGAAATCCCCCCCAAACCCTAAACCCTCAACCCTAAATCCGAAATCGCCTACAGTTTGGGTGCCCCCTGATTTGCAGCGCTTGGGGAGTTCACTCAGATCAAGGCCTCTCACGGTGCGGTCGGTGCAAAGATCTGCATCCCTCAACGGCTTTAGGGTTTAGGGGTTTCGGCTTAAGGGGACAGAGGTTTGTTTGTTTGTTGTTAATCCTGAAATGCTCTTTAAAGGGAATTCTACTTCCTGTTTAAAGTTTGAATTTGCGTTTCATTTGCCTCGCATATACATGGTTTTTGCCTTTGCATGTGCCTGTCATATAATTCTGTTTACCTTTCTTGGATTATGTGCTTGTTTCTTACTTTTTTCGTTACCTGTTGCTACTCCTGGGGACTCACTTGTCTCCCTTCCTTTTCGATACTTTGTCCTTTACCTTTCGCTCAAACTGACATCTACCTTTGCCTCCAACCGTCGGTCCTTTTGAATCCTAAACCGTGTCTCCCAGCAGCCCAGTATCTCCTGGTCGCTTAGGATTCTGTTTGGGGTAAGGAGTTCGTAGCGAGGCAGTTGCTATTATGCTATCCCATATTCTGCCAGCAGTCATGGAGGGATGGGTTGGCAGCTCTGCCGCCTTGGGAAACGCAGAATCAGCGCCGAATCTCATCGTGACTAGCATCTCTTATTCCGAGTTGGATGCGTGGGAGTATGTTTCTTCAGGCTTACCTGAAGCTGATGGAACACTTCAAGATTCCGCCTCCAGATCAGGTCGTGGCCTCAAGAGCATGCTTCAGCGTCATGAGTACAAAGGGTTGCTTCTTGTATGCTTCGTACATGTTAATGGGGTGACATTACGGTGAAAATTCAATCCGTCTCAGACGGGACCTAGATGCCCCAGGCCTCGCGGCCTCAGTGTGGAGTATGACAGTCATGCTCGTTGACATTCCGAAAGCTGCAAGAATCTCCTATTGCTATGACCTTGTTGCTATGTCTATGCAGTCGTCGCTTCATTGCTATGCTAATGCGGACTTGTGTTAGTACAGGTATAAGTCAGAGATCCGAGGTCATGCGCGACATCGCCGGCTATGTGATGCTGAAGCAAGCAAGCATGCTGCAGACACACGCCAAGGCCTGGTCTCTCTCATGTATGGTGTCCAAGCCTATTCTCGTAGTGTATCTGTCAAGCCCGGTGCATTCCCGCCAGAAGATGGGCTGTGACGAGCTGAGTTAGGTCTGCCCGCCTCCGACAGCTACGAAGCTGGACATCGCTAGCGGCTGAGTGTCGATTGCCGAGCTTGCCTCGACTGCGACTGCATAGAGTTGGCGCATGTCAGGCGCTCGATGCTCCACACGACATCAAGCTGCCGATGCTTTCTGGTGAGATGTCAATCATCTTTAGTTTGTCACGGCCTTGGAATCATGCAAACCACATCTCCGACTAAACTGCAACGTGCCGAGGTAAGAACCTCGAGGCTCGCTCAGACCAGTTCCGCATCTTGTGCTGTCGCACGGAAACTTACTGCAGGCGTGGCTCCATCTCTTTGCCGGGTCTGACCCACGGCCTCGATGGAAGAGCACGGTGCGTGCAACGGAAATTTACTCGAGCAAGGTCTGCTTGCTGTCTTACTTTGCCGAGTCTTACGAGCAATGACTGGCATTGAATGAGCAGTATGCTGGCTGGCTGTGAAGGGCGCAGTTCTGGTTTTTGAGACAACTCGGCTAGCGCTAGCTCGATCCTCTTTGTGTCTGTGTGTGTACAGGCAGTTTTGGCTCATGCCGGTGCCCAGCAGCCAGCAGCTCTCTCATCAAGCCTTTTCGCACATCCTTCCACTTTTCTGTCGGCGCCCCCCAGCGCCATGCGATTCGACGGCTTTTTTTTGTGCAGAAATGCAGGCTGCAGTCTTCCAGTTGCTGCCCTCACCTGAGATGTTGTCGCATCGGATTTCAACTTCCAACTGCACGCTCAGAGTCTCAGAGCTTGTGTGCTTTGCGGCTGCATTTCCATGATTTCTGCCAGCTTCCAAATTCCACGCCGTCTGTCCCAAGCATCCGATGGATGGAGGGCAGAACATGGCTCATGCGTGTCTAATTCCGTATCAGTTAGACCTTTTTTTTGAGCTGCGCTGCTGCGCTGCCGGTTGTTGAAAGCAGGCGGTCGCTGCAGAATCCCGGATGCACCGGTGCCCTGCTGCGTGTCGGTCGGAGTCTGACAACCAATCCATAGCGTCGGCTCTAGACAGAGACGCGCTTCCGCTTTGAAGGCTGATCCTGAGCACCCAGTCGCTAGACCCCCAAGGCCAGAAGAGAGCGATTCTTACAAAGGTACGACCCGGGGTGATGGTGAGCCTCGTGAGCCTCTCTGCAGACTTTGGAGTGCGCTGCATGACAACCTGTTGCTAATTGTTATCGAATCTTGGAAACATGTCAGATCATGCAGCTTACCCGCAAATTTCAGAAGACGCTGCACGGCTTCACCACGCTCACGATGCGGTGATTCCGCATTGGAGTATTCATCTGAAAGAACAGAACCGTGCCGGTTCATGTAGGCACACGCCGCACAGAGTAGCTTGAATCAAGCAAGCGTCCTTTCAGCCTTTCAGTTTCAACGCAAAAAGAGCTGTGGCCGCGATGTCCGTGCTGTGCTAGCCATGGAAATCTTGCAAGTACGGGTGGCGAACAAGCTTCAAAGGTACAGCGGTCTGGAGCTAGCCACGCAGACGGTCTACCATATGGTGCTTGTTGTGGGGCCCATTTTTAACAAAGTCCTGCGGGAATACGGAATAGACGTTCCTTAAAAGGAGATCCCAACTGAAGAGGGAACTTACCAGAGGACAAGCACGCCCACCACATCATGTAAAGGAAGCATGATAAGTCAGTGCCTGCCTTGGATAGGTCACAGCAAGATATGGACGTGCGGTATTGTGGAGTTTAGGGTTTAGGGTTTAAGGGATAGTCACATGGCCGCACAGTATATCGTGATGGTGAAACTGTTCAAGACACTGGCAGCGGGGAACAGACTCACAGACCTTGCACGGCGATGCATTCTACTTTTGACAAAAATTTGGTTTGTTTTGGAGGGCTTTTCCGAAGGGAGGGCAGCTGGGAAGGCGGCGTGGTGGATTAGGAGCGAAGGGAAGAACAAGATAAGCCACGTTTTTGCGATGGCAATAATCACTTCTTGTTTGCAACCTACAATATCCCTTAAACCCTAAAGCCCAAAACCAGGCCCAAAACCCCAAACGTAAGAACGCCGCGGGGGATTTCTCTGTGAGGACGACCCTTCCAGTTTTCACTTGAGCCCGGAGCTGTCCATCTTTCCTCAGTTCATGCCTGGAGCTTAGCAGTTTAGGGTTTAGGGTTTAGGGTTTGGGGTACATGCCCGGTCGTTCCGGCGGACTTCAGGTACCATCTGCGGAGGAGCAACTTCCTGCAGACTTTCAATGCCAGCCCAGACGAGACGGCATACTATCGAATGCCACTGCCTGAGTGCTTCAAGTGTACTTCAGTGCGTTTGAGCTCTTGGACTCTGAGGCTAATCCTCAGGGAGAACACCATGAATTCTCTCGTGATGATCCAGCCGGCTCTGCTGTCTGTCGCTCAGAATCCTGCAAAAAGACAGCCATGAAGGCTGCGGGAAGGACAGGCACATGGTTACTGTTGCAGGCAGTACTCCTTTGACGAGGGCCCGCCGCAACCAGTGTTGTTGGACGCGACGTCCCTCAAGCCCGGACCTCTTTGCACGGTCTTGCCGGGTTGCCGGGTTGTGTGGCAAGTTCTACCACTTCGAGCCTCAGACATTTGAGCTTGGGTCTGTGGGGCGGGGTAGGAGAGGCACATGCCATGTCGCACCCTCGGCGCCGGCCGAGCGGACTTGCAAGTCCGGCTCTGCTAATATTTCTTGCCGCATACCAGGCGACAGCAGGGACGAATGGTATATATACATATATACAGATATGTATCTATAACATACATACATATCTGCATCTATATCTACATCTATATCTATATCTATATCTATACCTGTATATATATAGATATATATACATATGCATGTATGTATGTAGGTAGGTAGCTACCAGTAGGTGGGTGGGTAGGTAGGTGGGTAGATAGGTAGGTAGATAGTTAGGTAGGTGTTTATGAATGAATGTATGTATGAAAATAATATATATATATATATAATACATAACTTATAAACTTGTAATACCTAACTTGCTATATATATACATATATATGTATGTATTGAGTTTCTTCATAATATGTAGTTGAAAAGCGATCGCTGTATAATGCAGTATATGTAACTTAATCAAACGAATATATAAAACATACCATATAGTCTGTATTTAATATAGCAAACACGACATACAGTAATGATATTTAACGTACAATAGATCAGATCAAATACGAGATAGATAGATAGATAGATATATATATATATATACATATATATATATATCATAGTGTATGATATACAATGTGGAGTGTTAAATATTCATAGTCAGTACTACTATCAGCAATAGGAATGCTACCACCACCACCACTACTACCACTGCTACTACTACCAATAATAATAAGAAGAAGGTTAAAGTAACAGCATACATACGTGCATATAATATATCTATATGTACATGTACATATATATATATATATATACACACCCCTTTTTGTATACTGTCAGATTGCGGAGGAAGTGCTCAGACAGGGTTCGGCCACTTGCCTCGCCCACAATTCACCCAAACGTGGTAACTAGCTACTGTACTTCCTCTTCGATTCAAGTGATGCTCTTCATTTTATGTCAGGCTGGCTTGAAGTCTTCGGCACAAATTCAAGATGTGCTGGGCAAGAACACATTGTTTGATCTCTGCTCTTCCGGGTAGTGCGAACACGGTTCGCTGCATCTGGCAGGAGCTTGGCGGCTGCCGATCGCTGTCTCCATCCTTTGCTTTGTCCACGCCATGTCTTTGCGGGCTGAGAAGGCTTTGGATCTACTATTTACATGTGTTGTCCGTGGCAGTGCATATCACCTGAGTTTCATCGACAGTTCGTTGCACGTCGAGATGGGCTGGCTGTGAGGGACTCATGGACGTACTACCTTTTGCAAGCATGCGGCTCTGCTCATCGAAACTGCATAAATGCTCGTAGACATCGGTAACTCCTCAGCACCCAAACCTCAGATATGTTTAGCACCTCCCGGCAGGTCCTGGCCAATGCATACCTATCGCTTGCCTAAGCCTCCCCTAGTCCCGGAAGCATCGTGAAGTACAGTGCCGCAGTCTGCCACGTCCCTCGCGTCACGGCTTCCTGCTCCTCCCGAATCTGGACTCGAATGGTTTGCGAAGGTCCAGAGACCGATCCTTCTGCCGGAATGCGGTTCCAGACTACAGCAGCATGAACGTCAAAGAGCTCAAGGCGCCACCTTGAACAGCTTCATGTGCCTAAAACGTGAGGGGCGCGGGCACTCTGCAAAGCCCGTATACAGCATAATGGCAACTCCGACACGACCGTAGTTGCCAGAATGTCTAAACACCAAGCAAGTTCAAATGCAAGACACACCCTAAATAGCCACAAAGCAAAACCTTGTTAAATCCCAAACATCCCACGACCCCAAAGCAGAAAAAGTGCCAAACCTTGAAGCACCAATCCTTAAACTTTGACGCACCCTTACTGCCCTAAACACTAAACCCTTGTCTGTGCCGTTAAGCTTCCATCTTGGTGTCCACGTCTACTGTCACCATTGTTGTTATTATCACCATTACTGCTATTATTGCTCATATTATTATTCTTATTATGATTGTTGTTATTCTTCTTGTTGTGTAGTTCTCTAAACTAGGGCCCTTTTTGGGTCCCCAATACAGTACGGCACCCTTATAAAAGGAACCTACAAGGGACCCTAATTTAGAGAACTACCCTAAACCCTAAACCCTAAACCCTAAACCCTAAACCCTAAACACTAAACCCTAAACCCTAAACCCTAAACCCTAAACCCTAAACCCTGTCATTATTGTTGAATCTCATTTCCCTTGCAGACAGGCCCGGCTCCGGGAGCTGGGGCTCAAGCTGGAGGGCCGCAAGGCTGGAGCGCAAAGCATGACTCGGGCGCTTGTGAGGGTGTGTGTATTTATATATCAATGTATGTATGTGTATACATATATATATATATATATGTAGCATAAGGCCACATACACCCCTACATACACACATGCATACCTACATGCGTGCACACATGACCATATGATACAATGTACATGCACGCATACATACGTAGATATGCAGATTCGTATATAGGTATGTGGGTAAATATGTACGTAGGCATATATGTGAGTACATGAGTATGTATGTATGTATGTATGTATGTATGTATGTATGTATGTATGTATGTATGTATGTATGTATGTATATGTATATATATATATATATGTATAAACACATCTACACTTGTAGGTACGCTTTCTGTGCTCAGGCCGTTCTCATAGAGCGCCTGCAAGCGCATGATGCAGCCACTTGGCAGCACCAGACTGAGAAGACGATCGCCCGACGTGCAAGCGCAACTGCAAGTGGGAGTTTCAGAAAATTAGGGTGCCTTATTTTGGGGTCCTTATAATAGGGATCCTATTAATTAGGGTACTATATTAGGGTCCCCTATTTTCGGAAACTCCCAAGTTGTCCAGGATGCATCGGAGGAAGAAGACGGCTCCTCGCGACTTGAGTTCAAAGTTCAGGCAGAACTTGATGCTGCAAGCCTTGTTCCATGCCGAAAGCGTTGAGCCATGCCGAGAAGTAGTTGCTAGACGCCACTTGCAAAATGGAGGGTGTGTGGGTCCTTTGGCTTAATATACCGCGAGTCATGAACCTAAGCCGTAAATATCCCTAAATCCCAAGTTATGACCCTTAAACCCCAAGCACCTCCGAAAAGCCGTGGTTCCTGGGCAAAGCCATGAGGTCTTCTCCTTACTTAGATGACCAGGGCCTACTTCCGGACGGCACCTACATGTGCCTGGATGGAAAAGCCCGAACCGGAGACTGGGAGAAAGCTCGGAGGCCTGGGGTTTAAGAAGGGCCCTTGGAGCCCTAAACTCCCCTAAACCCTAAGACCCTTGGGTTTAGAGGGTTTAGGGTTTAGGGTCTACTTGAGGCCCAGGGTGCAGTTTTTCCATAGATTCGAAGAGCCAAAGTCGAGGTAAAGGTCAGAAAGGTTTTCGTGCAAAAGCCCTAATTAAAACCCTCAACGTGGACTCTAAACGTTAAACCGGAAACCTTGTAAACCTCGTAAGGAATTCTACCTGTTCTGCACCCTAAAACCTCAACCATCAGCCTAAACACGAGACCACCAAACCTTGGTGTTGAGGGAGAACCCCGACGACCTCAACTGGCTCACCGAATGGGTGGTGGCCGCCCGAACGGGCCAACTGGAGAAGAAAAAGTGAGAGAAGGAAAGAGGTGCCTTGGACATCTGTTGAGCCTTATAGTCGTAGTATGATTTACTGTTCTTCTTGATGATCATAATCGGAGATGGTTGGTGTTGTTACAACCCTTGTTCTTTTTGGCGAGTTTCTGTTGGTGGCAAGTGCCTCCGACACTGCGAATCTGCTACCAAGGCCAATGTTGCCCACTCTGACCAGAGCTGAGTGCCTTCGCCATCTGACAGGGATAAGAACCCTAAACCCTAGACCCTAAACCCTAAACCCTAAACCCTAGTGGGACAAGTGCTTAGGGCTGTCTAGGGTGCAGGCTTAGGGTTCCTCTAAGGGTTACTAATCAGGGCTACAGGTGCTACAACGGTTACTATGAGAGATGCTACTGGGGTTACTCTAGGGGTTACTGCTAGGGTTGAGGGTTTAGGGTTTAGGGCCGCCGGGGAAATCCAGGCAGCGAAGCTTGGGATTCAACTCTCGTGACGAGCGAGGCGGCAAAAAGACGGGCAGTTGAAGAAATCTGGAACCTCACGCGTTTGAGGATTATAGGGCTTAGGGTTTAGGGTTTAGAACTTTTCTGTGGAGGGGTTGCATCTTTCTTCAGAGGGCTTGAAACGCTTTCGCTCAGGCCGAACGTGATCCTCTTGCTGGATGCGTTCTTCCATGTCGTGATTTGGCGAGGCTTTCCAATGCATTCCGTGCGCATGGCGAGGTCTGAAGATCGTTCGGTGCACTGAAAATAATTCGTCGAAATAAGCCCTAAGTCCTTAACATCACACGATGCTGACGGGCCCTACACCCTCAACCTTAAGCCATCATGAGCCCTAAACCCCAAACCGGATGGATGAGAGGACACATATACCCCGATATTAATAGGGGTTGCTGATAAAGGTCGTTCCCAAGGTTCCCGGGTTTTGGGTTCATAAGGTTTGGGCCAAAACGTTCATTGTGGGCGGGAAGGTGTCTGCACACCGTCCGCGCCGCCCGCACCTCCCAGACCGCCCCCGTTGAAGAAAGTGATGCTAAGGGTTTAGGGTTTAGGGAGGGTGCCGGATTGACGAAGAGGACCTGTGATGGAAAGCAGGTTGCAGAGGCCGACGACGTCTCTTGCAGAAAGACTCAGCATGTTGCCAGGACAAGACAGTGTTCGTGAGTAAAAGGGCTAGCTGTGCAGGAGACACTTCAAGACTCAAGGCTTTGGTTTTTGGATGGATCGAGAGAAGGCCGATCGGCGAGGAGTGGCGAGGGAAGGAAATCAGATGTTCGGAATGCACAAAGTCGAACTATGACACAGGTCAAACACGGAATGCAGCTTTCCAGAACCCCATGGCTGTGTTGAGCATTCCGCCAGCAAGCCTTCGTCCAGTGGAGGTTGTGTCAAGCTTCATGTGGTCGCAGGCGAGATGATTCAAGCCTGGCATGAAGCGGGTTACCAGGTGGGCGTCTGAAATCCTGAGACAGTGCACTCCATGTCACATTTCTGGCGCAGGAGAAGGAGGAGTACGCAAACTTTAAGGTCACGCCTCTGTGGGATGTGAGCATCATTGCTATGATTTTTCTGTTTCTGCAGCCTTTCCTTTGCAGGCCTTGTTGACAGCACCGGCAGAAGATGCGAAGCACATCCTAGCGGATCGATTCCCTGCATGCTGCTTACGGCACTGCTTACGACCCACCGCAGCAGAAGCAGGAGTTCATGGCTTGGTTACTGGCTTGGTGTCTGAGGTGCCGAAGTTCATTCAGACCGCTGCGGGCGGCTCGCAAGCGCGCTTCCTCACCTCCAAGGTCTGGGTGTTGGGCTTTCGAGTTTAGGGCTTAGGGCTTGTGAAGAGCCGTTCGGGCCGCGCTGCCGGACGAGAGCTTTGGCCGCTTTGATCTCGCGTTTCTTCTTCTCTGCACAGGTGAATCCGTCCCAGACGCACAATTCTGGACCGGGCTGGGGCGGAGGGTCCGACTCCTCTGTTTGGACCCTGGTCAGTAGCTGAAGGTGTCAGAAGGTAGTGCAAAGTAGGGCGACAGGTCCGTGATCAAGTTGTATCAACTCCAGGTCGTCATCACGGACGATGTGTCCCTGAAGGTTTTCATGGAACATTTGATAAGGCCCAGTGGGGTTTACAGTGGGATCATTGTTGCTGCCGCTTGTGCTTTGCCGGCTGGCAGAGAGGTGGCTTGACAAGAGTATGGTCTCGCTTGCTCAAGAGTGCCGGTTACGGTAGCTTTCTAGCCAGGACTCGGCGGGTGTCTCAATATCCTTATCTCCTCTGGTGTGATGTAGCCTATTCTGGGCTTTGGACCGTTCATCTGCACAGGTGTCCTCGTTGCGTCGTCATTGATCCTTTCAATTTTCACTGAAGGGCCGCTTTTTGCGCTTCAACACTGTTTGACGTTTGATGCTGGACTCCCGCCTTCAATGTGCCCTCGAGGCTGGCCGTCCAATCCTGAGCTGCGACCTCTCGCCGCTATGTTGTGATGTCCGGAGGATGGGACAGGTATTTCTTGTCATACGAGATAACATAATAAACCTGTATGCACAGATCTATGACAAGTTGCCCTCCGCTGCAACTCCTCTAAAGTCGCTGATATGCTTGGGGTGATCCCCACAAAGTGCAGGCTTCTAGCAGACTTACCGGTGGCCTTGCACGCTCTCTACAAAGACTGTGCGGCCAAAATGAAGACCGAGTGCAGACCGGGTCCTAGAATTTCATGTGAGCATGTCCGTGCAAAACAAGCCAACCTTGGTTTAGGGTTTAGGGGTTTTTAGGGTGAAGATGACCCCGCCTTTGCATCTTGCCCTTCCTGCACCGTCTTCTAGTTGCTGGTTGTCTTTGCCACACAGACTCGGCGGCATGTTGACAGGAATGCCCGTTGCCCGCAGCTTTTCAGGATCGAAGGACACTTTCAAAATCAGGGGTTGTGAAAGTAAGCGAAGTTGTTGAGTCATTTTGCCATCTTTAGTCCCACCGCACCGGACTGAAAGTGAACTATTAGGATGCCTAGACTGCAGATGGGTACTCTTGACTCTTGTTGATGCCCTGTGGTGCTTTGTCCTATGGTGCTTGAGCGCATGGCACAGGCCTGGCAGATATCGCGTGGCTGCCCACTTCAGGATACCGGGAAGTGGTACAAACCAGCGCCATGTCTGACTGGACCTATGAAATGCTCCGATATGCTTTCAGCTGGAACGACGAGTCAAGCGAAAAGGCACTCAAGTATGTTGTTAACGGCAGGAGTCCGTCCGAGACAATGTCAGAGTTCCAGCTTCTCGACATACTGCTGCTAACTATTCTGACTGAGAAAGATGAAGTTGAAAGGACGTCTGCGCTCGTTTTCTTAGAGGAGCACGGCAAGAGTTTGGTCTTTGATTATTCGCGGCTTCACAAAGTTTACTTCGTGCTCGAGAACATTCTGGGTTCGCCAGTTGATGGTCAGGGCATGACGTACTCATTGAAGTCGCAAGTTCTGGTCACGTATACAGCGCTCTTGATACAGTTCAACACCTTCGAGACAGACGTCGCTCGCTTCGAAGGCTTCGTGGATCTATTATACTCCATGGTAACTTGCTGAATGCTAGGAACCCTTTTGAGTCTTTGTTTGTTGGGTCTACTGTAGCTTTACATAGACCAACGAGGGTATTTTCTTCTCATTCCCCAGCCCGAAGCCCTACAACACCTAAGTTTCTAAGCTGATAAGGAATCTTTCATCGCAAGCCCTGGAGCCCAGTAAACCCAGGTAAGCAAGAACACAAACCCCAAACCTTAACAGTTCATCGAGCTCTGAAAATTCCTCAACAAACACTAGGCACAAGGATCGAAGAAGGATCGCTCAACAAATCAAGAGCACGCCCAGGTAAGTAAAGCACGCCCTAAACCCCTAGAGCCCTGAACGGTCCTACACCTAAATCCCAAACTGAAAAAGCCCTTAACCCACAGCCCAGGTAAAGCACACAAACAAGTCAGCGGATCGAATCCTTCGAGCCTATGCCTGCGAGTGCTTGCACGAGCTGGAGAGCTGGCATCCAGGGCTTCTGTTTCTAGGTCCTTCAAGAAAGCGCTTTGGGGTTTAGGGTTTAGGGTTCTTCTGTTTCTGGGTCCTTCAAAGCGCTTTAGGTTTCTGTTCCTGGGTCCTTTAGAGCGGGCTCTAGAGTTCTGTTTCTAGGTCCTGAACATGGTTTTGGTGCTTTTGTGTTTAGTACTAAGTTTTATAGGGCTTCGGTTACTATGCCTTTTTTGTGAAGAAAGGAAAATATAGGGTTAAAAGATTATTAAACGCCGTTTTGATCATTCGTGAATCGGGCTATGTAAGGTCTCTTGCTATTGGTGTTGTCCGGGCTATCGAGCTATTGACGTTTGCATACTGTGTGACATGTGGTGCGTAATTTGCTTGCCGAAGTTTGGGGCGTTTTTGTTAAGATTTCGTCAGCTCACCCTGGTTTGGGACATAGTGAATGACAATATCATTTCTGATTATGGGTAGCATGCAGTAGCGAAAACTAGACTAGGTTGTTTGACAAGAGATCAGGTTTCCGCTGCTCGGAGAGGACTGGACGGTGCCTCCCATCTGGGCGGGTGGAATGACAGCCACAGTGCAACAGGGCTCCTCCGTCGGCATCAACACGCTGGCCAAGTTCGCCAACGACGAGTTGCTGCACATACAGGAGAGCTATGCGCGGCTCTTTTTCACCACGATCCAGCATTTCACGGAGCAGTTGGTGCAGGAGGCTCTCAAGCATCAGCCAGAGGAACGGCGCGAGGATCTAACGGAGCTTTCTCTGCAGTCGGGCCTCACGACACCTCTCGCAGGGTCGAGGCCCGGCACGCCGCCCCTCACTCCACGTGGCGAGGACGAGACCGGCCAGTCCAGCCAGTGGGCGCTGCCCCAAGCGAAAGGCGACTCTAGGGACGCCATGTTCCGCTTCCACATTCCGAAGAACTGCCACGCAGGCCCGGAGTTCGCGTTTGACCTCGCAACGGATCAGACACCTCCTCGATTGCCTCGCAAACTGGTGAGGACCATGACAAGGAGCATCGGCTTGGTCCTGGAGGCGATGCCCACGTCCTCGTCCTGGACCAAGATCTTCATCGCCGAACGCCTAAGCCTCTTCGTGAAAGTCCTGGCACTGCCGCAGCGCGTGGTCTTCCATCACTTCTCGCCATTATTGCATGCCTCGCGGCCGTCCTTGCTGCTAGGCCCTTCTTGAGTACGATGTCTCCGTCGTGGCAGTTGAGTTTCCTATCTTCTTAGGAAGAAAGGAGCCGGAACAAACCTTGTAATTGTAGTTTTAACGGGCCTCCAAGCGCAGCGAGGTTGCACGCCTTCATGGTGGTGAACGCACTCTTCACAGCAAAGGAGCAAACAACACTCTACCAGACCCCAAAACCTCATTCTGTCTATTGACGCCCCTAAACCCTAAAAGCCCAAAGCCCTAAACCCTTAGCTCTTAAGGTCTCAAAGGGGCCCTTAAAGGGCTTTGGGGTCTCCTCATAGGGTACTATAGGTTTCTATACTCGGTTCCCCCTTAAAGGAACCCGATAGATCCCGAGAAGGAACCCTTAAAGCAACCCATACCAGGGTCCCTCAACCCAAGGCCCTAGGCCCTAAACCCCCCCTTAAAGGAAGCCTCGAAGGAGCTGGGTTCCAACACCGTGGCCGAGGCGGTCGTCCATCGTCTGTTCGCTCTGGTGCAGGATGGGGCCATGGAGCCATGCTCTCAGGGTTTAGGGTTTAGGGTTTAGGGGTTTAGGGGTTTAGCGGTTTAGGGTTTAGGGGTTAAGGGTTTCAGGATTTAGGGGTTTAGGGGTTTAGGGTTTAGGGGTTTAGGGAGTGCTCTTATTGTCATTCATGGGCCATGGGCTACCATAGACATACCATGTCAGATGCTCTGTGTATAACCTCTAGGCAGATTATGGTGCTGATGCTTGTATTTAATCTTTCTATCAGCCACCTCCTAGGACCATAATAAGAACAGGGATGTCTAAACAAGTCTGTCGATTCTGTCAGAGAAGCAGAATCCCTTAACCCTGAATCCCTGAACCTTAACCCTTAAATCCCTAAACCTTAAATCCAAAGCCTTAAAATGCTAAGGCCATGCTTTCGCTTGCTGTCCGTCAGCTGGCTCATCGCCCTGTCGAGCTCTTCAAAGATCTCTTTCAACTTGCTCTGGGACCCTGGGTGTACCCTTTGAGAGAGGGTTCTTGTAAGGGTTCAGGGTTGAGGGTCCCGCGGTAGAAGGGTGTTTCTCTTATGAAGGGTTCTGGGAAGGGCTCGATAAAGGTAGTATAAGGGCTGTTGAACAGCTCTCTAAGGGTTCTACAAGGGTTGCCCTATCGCTCTCTTTCATGGGATTTAGGGTTTAAGGTTTCGGGCCTTGGTGAGCTTGTTGTATGTAGATGACCACGGTAGGCCCTCGCTGCACAGCCCCCAGGAGCGGGTGCAAGAGCTCTGCCCTCGCTGGCACGCCCGGCCCCGAGTGGCAACGTTGCCTGTGAGAGAGACGGGGGGGTGGTTAGCGCAGTTGACCCTGAACCCCAAACCCTAAACCCTGAACCTAAACCCTAAACCCTGAACCCTAAACCCTAAACCCTGCACCGTAAACCCT